TCTCTGCTCACATAAGGGTCTTGTGTGTGTGTGTGTGTGTGTGTGTGTGTGTGTGTGTGTGTGTGTATAAAATAATAATATTAAACGGTTATTAATTGAGTTGTAGCTTTGTGGCTGAAAATATACAAACTTACATGTGATTTAGACATAATGATATACGTTCAATACATTTACAGGGCTGTACTCTACATAAATCAGGAGTTGTGTATTATTTTAACAATAGATGGGATGGTGCTATTCTTATATATATCAGTGCGGGCTCTTATTGGCTGAATTTTGTTGTAGTGGTGTACTGCGCGAGGTGGACGGAGGAGTGCCGGTGGCAGAAGGTGGCGATGACGAGGATGGTGCAGTAATCCACTGCCAAACCTTGCTAGTGCTTGGTGGTGGAGGTCACTATGGGATGGCATTTCCAGGGATGGAGAGAGCGTTGTTGTAGCCGGAGTATTCTATGCCGAGCATGATTCTGCAGGCCCTTTTTTGTACCTTCTCTAGCTGACGTTGTTGTTTAGAGCTGAGAGAAGATGACCTGGCTGGTGACGCATATGTTAATGTGGGGAGAATAAAGACGTTGTAGATAGTCCTCAGCTCTGGCGTGGTTGCCTCAAGTGACCTGAGTCGTTGGAGCATGTAGAGTCGGTACAAGGCTGCCTTGATTGTGTTATTTACATGGGCCTTCCAGTCCAGTTTGTGGTCTATGGTAACACCCAGGAGTTTGGCAGACTGCACTAACTGGAGAGGATGAGCACCCACTGTGACTGCTGGAGCTTGCACTGGAGTGGTGGCGGTATTGATGAGCATGACTACGGTTTTGGTGTGGTTGATGGTGATCTTGTTCTCCGTAGTCCATTCCTGTAGCCTGTCCAGGGTGCTTTGTAGCGATGAGTAGTCCGGTGAGGTGTTGTCCACTGTAACCTCCACAGTGCAGTCATCCATGTTCTTCCAGGATTAGGAAGCACAGTGGTCCCATCTTGGTCCCCTGGGGAACACCGCAGGTGAGGTGTTGGAATGTGGAGACAGAACCCTGGTACCTGACTGCCTGACGACGCCCACTTAGGAAATCAGTGAGCCATGAGACCAGGTTGGTGGGCAGCCCTAGTGCAATGGCCTTGTTGATAAGAGTGCAGTGATCAACAAGGTCAAAAGCCTTCCTGAAATCAACAAGAGCAACGGCCAGTGATGTCTTACGTTTCCACAGGTTTTTGTGCAGGAAATCCAGGAAACTAACTAAGCAGTGTGATGTAGAGGAGGTCCTTATATTGCCAAATTGCTGTGGATCAATTGACTGATAAATACAAGCAAATGCCCACTCATAAACAGTCTTCACAGATTAGACTAGGTATGGGGGTAATGACAACTGGCCTGAGCTCGCTAGGGGACTGTGGGATGAGGACCTTGGGGATATGGGTGACAAATGCGGTTTTCCTTTCATTAGGGCATTTGCTTTGTCTGATGGATGCATTAATAATAGAACTAAGGGGGGTGGCAAGTTCGATTGCAAACTCCTTGTAAATTTTGATTGGGACGTCAATTGGGGTTGTGGAGCATTTGGATTTAAATTTCAGGAGTTTGTTGGCAGTTTCAAATAATTGAACACTAGGGGGGGGAGGTCAAAGACTGGGTAGGGTATGACATATTAGGGTGTGTCATACGGAGTCGAATTTTTTTTTTTTGAGTTTGAAAAATCGGCCCATGGTATTAATGATGTAGTTCTATGTGCAGAATCATGTGATATCTTCAGATTTGAAAAGTTTTTATTTTTTGCTAGGCAAATTTTAACTTGAAATCTTATGAAAATTCAGTATTCCCACCCTTTTACCAACACCACTAAATAGCTTATTTAAAGTAAAGTAAATGTATCAGGTTAATTTATTAGGATGAAAATGATCCAGAATAGTGAAACGAATGATCTTGACACATTTATTAAATTTAATATTCCTTTAGAAAACAAAATCATCAAATAGAAAAACCGGTTTTACTACTACGACCCGGTGTTGCTGCACACCATAGAGAACATGTCTTTCTTGCTTTTGTTTCTACTCATCACCTCCCTGCTGACCACCTGAGCTCGGATGTAGCCTTCCCTCCTCTCCTGGCTGTACACGTGACTGCTGGCCTCGCTCACTTGCTGTACACAACGCTCTATACTCTGGGTGTGCGAGGGCCAGGCAGGGACATGCATGGGGTTGTCCAGGAAAGCTCTGACTTGAACATTGGTGAGGCTGCAGGTAAGAGGGGCTCACTGCCAGCCTGGATGTTATCCAGATCTATGAGATCAGTGAGGGTCTTGGCACCTAGATTGACTTCAGGAGTCTTCCTGACCCTGAAGGAATCGTCACCAACTGATTCGTCATGCCCAGATCCTCTCATAAGTCTCATATCCAAGATCTTTTTGACTGCCACTCTTCTCTCCTCCTCATCCTTCACTGCAGAGCATTGTCTGCAGAACTGCCTCGGGATGAGCATACCAGGAAGATCTCCTCACAGTCTGCTCCACAATCTGAACAACCTTCCTTGGCTGACTCCTCAGGAGCTCAAGCTGGAAGAGAACATGCCTCGGACCTTCGGAGAACGATGACTTGACCTTGGTGTTGAACCAATTTGGCAAGTAGACACTCACGATGAATTGGACAATAAGTCTCAGGTTGTGAAGCTGGTTCCCTTTCAGTTTATGATGAGCGACCCAAATTCTGCAGAACCTGAGAGCCGTTGTGAGCCACCTAGAATGTGAGACTGGACTTATCTGCAGGTAAGCAAGTCTATCAGGCATGACCCCAGTTTTGATGGCACTGCAAATCATGTAACCATAGTACTGGTCAGTACTCAGGTCGTCAATGACAGTATGTGCAAGCTCAACGAGTGGAGGGCCAACTGTGATTTTTTCAAAGCTCGGATTTATTTCTAACTCAGTGGCAGAGTCCAGCATCTTGCCAAGAGGACCAGACCATCTGTTGTTTGAAAGAGTCTTGCCATCCAGCTCCTGGATCAGATGTCTGAGTGGCAACTCGTTGGTGTGGAGGTCACAAACAATCCAGACCAGCTTCCTCCCAATCTTCCGCTCTATCCACTGTATGACCCCCCCTTGCCACCCTGTGTTCGTGTTGGTGCTGTCCCCTCCAATGGCCTGCAGGGTCTGGTCTACGTTCCTCTCTCTGAGCCAGTTCACAATGTTATCTGCCACTATCTCAGCTGGTTTCCTGATGTCATCTTTCTCTGGAGTGAAATGCCACAAATACTTCCCTCCTGGTTCACTGCAGCAGGAGTAGTCCTTCCGAATCTTATGCCTGGAAGGTTTGGGATCATTATTTTCTGGGTTAGGGACAAAGTCACCATTCTCCTGGTCAGCACTCGGATCAGCCATGGGGAAGTCATTAAACTCTGAATCAGCTTGACTCCAATCATCGGCCTTTTTTACCTCACCCTGGGCCTTCTCAAGTCTCTTTTCCTCGGCAACTCTTCTCCTCTTCTGTCTCTCTGTGGCAGCCTCCTGTCTCTTGGACTCCGGAATATCTTGGCTAGAAATCATGAGAGCCCCTATACTGCCAGTCTTCTCTCTCTGTGCTTTGACAAATGCCAGTTCGATCACAGGAATCTTCAGTTCACGCTTGCAAATACAGGAGATGTGGGCCTCGGATTTACAGTCACGATCGCATCCAAACTCAGGACAGAGAACAATTGGGCACTTGCAAGTAATTATGTCAAATAACTGGTCCAGTTGCTTGGCAAAGCTGTCCTTAACTGCAAGTTTTCCTCTCCCAAGAGAGATATCTCTTGCCTTTTCCCAACTGGCTAGCAGTCTCTCACTAATCTTCTTCTGACTTGTTATGACTGGAGGCTTGAACTGAGCGTTAGCCAGAGTGTACTGTGCCAAGACAGCTTTGGTCATATCACTGGCAATGTCTTTGTTTGTGTAAGTTCTTTGGTTCTTTTCACTGATTTGCCTGATTAAAACACCGTATCTCAAAGCATCTCTCAATGTAGGCAACTCCGACTTCAGGAGCTCTCTCCCAGACCCAAGATAGTGACTGAGATGGCTGGATTTTTGGTTCCTCGTCCTGACACAAGCAGCCATCGCAAATATTATCAACTTATAAATGCATCAGAATCTGAAACAGAAAAATATTGTTAGTTGGGTTGTTAAAGAATGAAGTCAGAAAGCAATGTTCACTATTTAATTGTAATGCACTAATGCAGCTGTACGTTAGATTTTCGATAAATTTCACGCTAAAATTTACCTAGCAAAAGGTTGCAAAATATTGAAACTGAAATTATTTTCTGTTTATATACACTAAAATCTACCAAAAAAGTGATGGGCCATTAGTTTTAGCTGATCTTCCCTCCTATGACACACCCTAATGACATATGGTAGCAAAGTGGTTATTAATTATCTCAGCTGCCTCCTCACTAGGTAAATGAGAGAAAAAAGTAAGTGTGGGACACTGACGGTTAAAACCACAGAGATCTTTTACCTTAGAGTACCACTGACCGATGCCGACCTCCTTGAGGCCGTGCACTTTCCTGGGATAATAAGACTTCTTGGCTGACTTGATTTCCCTGATGACCTGGTTACGTAGACTTTTGTACAGGCGGTTGTTGGTGTAGTATGCCTTGTTGCGCTGCTCAATAAGTCTTTTTATGCGGGGCGTAATCCACGGGACATCATCGGGGTGGATCCTCAGTGTTTTGGCTGGAAAGAAGTGGTGGTAGGCTTTGGTGATAGTGTCCAGGTAATTATCCCACTTGTTCTGCACATCGTCTAACGTGATCACTTCAGTCCACTGATACCGGGTCACCCATTGTCCTAAACGCAGCATAGCAGTCAGGTGTGTGTGTGTGTGTGTGTGGGTGTGTGTGTGTGTGTGTGTGTGTGTGTGTCTGCGTGTGTGTGTGTCTGTCGCGTTTCTTACATAATTGAAGTCTGGTGATAAATGATATTGCTTTAGTTAATATACTCTCAGAACTTTTACTGCTAAAAAATTGTCTTTGGGAGATAAAATATATTTTACATTTATGACTGTATTTTATTTGTTCTTCTTACACACTTTACACATCACACTTGATAACTACATAAGAGAAAGCTGGTAAACATCATACAGCAAGGAGGAACCAGGAGCCAGAGGTGTCTAGATGTTGAAGTTTTTGAACGCTGGAGATGTTGGACGTTGGAGGTGCTGAAGATTGGATGTGAATTGTGTCTTGAGGATATATTCGCCGCGGTCCACCAGGTCTTTTTGTCTTCCTCAATGTTTAGTGATTTCATTTTCTGTCCTCATCGTTGTAGTTTTCATGATATATACTTATACACGTAGTTAGTTCATACTAGTGGGTGTTCCTTTGCGTAGGATGGAGGGGGTCCTCGGTCAGATGGGCAGCTGGAGGCAGCATCTTTGACTTACCAATGACGTCCACCACCGCCATATCCACGGCCACCGCCACGACCACCACGGGAGCCGCCACCACCACCACGGAAGCTGCCATGACCACCACGGGAGCCGCCACCACCACCACGGAAGCCGCCACCACCATAACCGCCCCAACCGCCCCAACCGCCCCAACCGCCGTGTGGGTCAGCCAGAGGAGAAGGATCAGGGTCAGCTAAGGGGTAGGGGTCAGGCATAGCTCGGGCAGACCCCAACAGGGCAGCGAGGGCCACCACCACGACGAACACCAAACACAGCTGTAACGTGAAAGACAAACTGTCAGGCATGTGTGGTAAGAGAGGCGATTTTTTTTTATTAAGAATATTTGGTGTTTGTCATGCAGGGTGAATTCTACTGTAATGTTTACTGTATTACCGAGCAGCTGATACCTGGAAGGGAAAAGCATCAATATACTGTAGTATTGTATTTTTTACTGGTAACAAGTTCTTGTGTAACTTAGATCTCTCTCTCAGCAAACTTTTGCTTATATGCTCAAAACATACAGTATATACATATTAAGTTTCTCGGTAATTACACACACTGACCAAAACAAATATCTGGATGGCCATTATAGAACAAAACTTATTAATATGGTCACATTATGTTAATGTGTTGACTTTTTCAGTAACATCAAAACTCGTGTAGAGGATCAGAGAAGGTGGAGGTTTATTAGGACCACCAAGGTAAAACAAGACCGTAAGTGATACTTACAACTTTCATGTTGCTGACGGAATTGTGGTCCAGCTGACTGCTCCACGAACACTGCTATTTTGAGGATGCGCGGCCCTATATATATACCCACCGGGATCCTGGTTCCGCCATCATACTCTCGTTCCGCCTGGAAGGAATTTTCATTCTTTTCATAATTTTCTTCCATTTCAGTATACCTTCTTTATTTTAGTATCCAATTATTAACGTATATAATTAAAATACAGAGTAATTACAGCGATTTTCGAAACATTTGGTGTCCAGTATTTATGTTTTTCAGCGGTAGACTGTAAGAATCACAAAATGGATAAAGTTCCCGGGATTGTCCGTCGGTTGTGCTTCTGAAGGGTTGACTCGGTCAAGGCCTGCTGTTGGGGGTTGGGGGGGGGGGAAGAATGATGAAGATTTAAATTAGTGAGTGTAAGAAGTTGGTATAAATAATGAAAGGGAATATTGAAAGGTGATGACACAGGGAAACCACAGTCGAGCTGTCTCGTTGGTGCTTGCTGTGTCAGGAAGGGCAGAAAGATAAGCTGCTTATTTTATTTTGGTCTGATGTAGAGCCAAAGTAATCTAAAATGTTTCCTTTCTTGTGAAGCAGAGAGTTTACAGTATCATATTTTGGTACGCGCGTGTTATAGCGTATGTAATCTGCGTGTCTGTGTGTGTGTGGTTCAGACAGTCAGCGCTGTACTCCAAGGTCATGAAACCTTGAGACTTAATATCTTCCATGCACCCTGAGGGGACTCTCGGGATTCCCCTTCACTTTGTGCATATTTTCAGGGGGGATTTCTCTCTCATACCACCCAAAAAATTAGTTCAATCGGGATAGGTTAGGCTAAGTTGGGTTGGGGTGGGTTTAGTTTGGTTTGGTTTGGTTGGGTTGAGTTTGGTTAGGTTGGTGTTGGGTTAGGCTGGGTTTTGTTTATTTGGCGTGGATTAGCTTGAGTAGGGTTAGTTTAGGTATGGGTAGATTGGGTTGGGTTGCATTGGGATGCGTTGGATTGGGATGGATGTGTTAGGTTGGATTAGTTTAGATTGGGTTAGATTGTGTTATGTCAGGGCGGGTTGGGTTGTGCTGGTTTGGATGAGATTGGATTAGCTTAGGTTAATGTAGGAAAGGTAGTCCGGTTGCATTATCACGTTAAGTTTATTTGGTTTAACTAAGAAGTAGCTGAAAAGCAAGTGTTATAATAATAATAATAATAATAATAATAATAATAATAATAATAATAATAATAATAATAATAATAATAATAATGATAATAATAATAATTCAGTAAAATCATCATACAAGTTTACAGTTACTTTGGCAGGTATATACACTCAGTATACCGTGTAGTTGAGACGGATACATTCCCACATAGTACATTGAATTCGTTTACCCTTGAGTTTTAATTTTGATCCAAATAATATTGCTTCAGTCATACGAAGATATAGGTGTAATTTGTTGTCTACCAGCTATTGTTTGAATGACTCCAGTTCATATGGTAACTTTGTAGTTAAATCATGTGGCTCTTTACCTGGAACTAAAAGGGCATTCATCATTTTACAACTAAAGTTTACGATTGTGACGATTTGTTTCCTTTTGTTAAGATAGGATAAACCAACCGACAGATCCAATCCCAAGAGCCTACAGTTTTTCACACTGTACTCGTATATCCTGATCCACTGTGTCGCAGGCTTTTTGTAAATCTAACGTTACAATTTCTGTGTATTTTCCATGAGCTATTTGGATCCTGATATAGTCAGTGAGATGGATGAAACTGGTGTCAGTTCTGTGAGAACCCTTAAAGCCCGACTGGTAAATGTACAACATATTCTAATCACGGAAATATTTTTGCACCTGAACTTACACTGCTCTCTCCAGAACTAAGATAAAATACTCAGGATACTAACTGTGGCCTTTCTTATACTGTAGATAGGTGTTACTCAGGCAAAATTATGTTCATCTGGTACAGTATTGGTGCTAATGGTAAGATTAATTAAATGTTTTACTGATGTTTTAAAAACTGCTCGGATGTTATGTATAATATATCTCTGCTCACGTAAGGGTCTTGTGTGTGTGTGTGTGTGTGTGTGTGTGTGTGTGTGTGTGTGTGTGTGTGTGTGTGTGTAAAATGATAATAATAAACGGTTTATTAATGGAGTTGCAGCTGGTGGCTGAAAATATACAAACTTACATGTGATTTAGACATAATGATATACGTTAAATACATTTACAGGGCTTTACTCTACATAAATGAGGAGTTGTTTATTATTTTAAGAATAGTTGGGATGGTGCTATTCTTATATATATCAGTGCGGGCTCTTATGGGCTGAATTTTGTTGTAGTGGCGAACTGCACGAGGTGGACGGAGGATTGCCGGTGGCAGAAGGTGGCGATGACGAGGATGGTGCAGTAGTCCACTGCCAAACCTTGCTAGTGCTTGGTGGTGGAGGTCACTATGGGATGGCATTTCCAGGGTGGAGAGAGCGTTGTTGTAGCCGGAGTATTCTGCGCCGAGCATGATTCTGCAGGCCCTTTTCTGTACCTTCTCTAGCTGACGTTGTTGGGTAGAGTTGAGAGAAGACGACCCGGCTGGTGACGCATATGTTAATGTGGGGAGAATAAAGACGTTGTAGATAGTCCTCAACTCTGGCGTGGGTGCCCCAAGTGACCTGAGTCGTTGTAGCATGTAGAGTCGGTACAAGGCGGCCTTGATTATGTTATTTACATGGGCCTTCCAGTCCAGTTTGTGGTCTATGGTAACACCCAGGAGTTTGGCAGACTGCACTAACTGGAGAGGATGAGCACCCACTGTGACTGCTGGAGCTTGCACTGGAGTGGTGGCGGTATTGATGAGCATGACTACGGTTTTTGTGTGGTTGATGGTGATCTTGTTCTCCGTAGTCCATTCCTGTAGCCTGTCCAGGGTGCTTTGTAGCGATGAGTAGCCAGGTGAGGTGTTGTCCACTGTAACCTCCACATTGCAGTCATCCATGTTCTTCCAGGATTAGGAAGCACAGTGGTCCCATCTTGGTCCCCTGGGGAACACCGCAGGTGAGGTGTTGGAATGTGGAGACAGAACCCTGGTACCTGACTGCCTAACGACGCCCACTTAGGAAATCAGTGAGCCATGAGACCAGGTTGGTGGGCAGCCCTAGTGCAATGGCCTTGTTGATAAGAGTGCAGTGATCAACAAGGTCAAAAGCCTTCGTGAAATCAACAAGAGCAACGGCCAGTGATGTCTTACGTTTCCGCAGGTTTTTGTGCAGGAAATCCAGGAAACTAACTAAGCAGTGTGATGTAGAGGTGGTCCTCATATTGCCAAATTGCTGTGGATCAATTGACTGATAAATACTAGCAAATGCCCACTCAAAAACAGTCTTCACAGATTACGTAGACTAGGTATGGGGTTAATGACAACTGGCCTGAGCTCGCTAGGGGACTGTGGGATGAGGACCTTGAGGATAGGGGTGACAAATTCGGTTTTCCATTCATTAGGGCATTTGCTTTGTCTGAGGGATGCATTAATAATAGAACAAAGGGGAGTGGCAAGTTCGATTGCAAACTCCTTGTAAAATTTGATTGGGACGTCAATTGGGGTTGTGGAGCATTTGGATTTAAATTTCAGGAGTTTGTTGGCAGTTTCAAATAATTGAACACTAGGGGGGGGGGGGAAGGTCAAAGACTGGGTAGGGTATGATATATGGTAGCAACGTGGTTATTAATTATCTCAGCTGCCTCTTCACTAGGTAAATGAGAGATAAAAGGAAGTGTGGGAGACTGACGGTTAAGACCACAGAGATCTTTTACCTTAGGGTACCACTGACCGATGTCGACCTCCTTGAGGCCGTGCACTTTCCTGGGATAATAAGACTTCTTGGCTGTTTTGATTTCCCTGATGACCTGGTTATGTAGACTTTTTGTAAGCTAGAGAAGGTACAGAAAAGGGCCTGCAGAATGATGCTCGGCGCAGACTACTTCGGCTACAACAACGCTCCCTCCTCCCTGGAAATGCCAGCCCATAGTGACCTGCACCACCAAGCACTAGCAAGGTTTGGCAGTGGACTACACCTATATCTTCGTATGACTGAAGCAATATTATTTGAATCTAAATTAAAACTCAAGGGTAAACGAATTCAATGTACTATGTGGGAATGTATCCGTCTCAACTACACGGTGTACTGAGTGTATATACCTGCCAAAGTAACTGTAAACTTGTATGATGATTTTACTGAATTATTATTATTATTATTATTATTATTATTATTATTATTATTATTATTATTATTATTATTATTATTATTATTATTATTATTATTATAACACTTGCTTTTTAACTACTTCTTAGTTAAAGCAAAGAAACTTAACGTGATAATGCAACCGGACAACCTATTCTACATTAACCAAAGCTGATCCAATCTCATCCAATCCAGCACAACCCAACCCTCCCTGGCATAACACAATCTAACCCAATCTAAACAAATCCAACCCAACCCAACCCATCCATCCCAATCCAACGCATCCCAATGCAACCCAACCCACTCTACCCATACCTAAACTAACCATACTGAAACTAATCCACGCCAAATAAACCAAACCCAGCCTAACCCAACACCAACCTAACCAAACTCAACCCAACCAAACCAAACCAAACTCAACCCAACCAAACCAAACCAAACCAAACTAAACCCACCCTAACCCAACTTAGCCTAACCTATCCGGGTGGTATGAAAGAGAAATCCCCCCTGAAAATATGCACAGAGTGAAGGGGAGTCCCGAGAGTCCCCTCAGGGTGCATGGAAGATATTAAGCCTCAAGGTTTCATGACCTTGGAGTACAGCGCTGACTGTCTGAACCACACACACACAGACACGCAGATTACATACGCTATAACACGCGCGTACCAAAATATGATACTGTAAACTCTCTGCTTCACAAGAAAGGAAACATTTTAGATTACTTTGGCTTTACATCAGACCAAAATAAAATAAGCAGCTTATCTTTCTGCAGGCCTCTCCATACAGTGTACCTTTAGACTAACACAACTAACACTTAACTAACACCTTAGCAAAAAAAACAAAAAAAAAACAACAAAATGTGACTACCCTCCCAGTTACACAAGGACCTGGGCGGGCTCACTAACTCCA